GGAATATCCATGCCTTGCCCAGCGGTGCCACGCCTTGGCCGCTTCCAACCTCTTGGCTTCTCTCTCAGGATCCCTCTTCCTCCGTCCCGGCTGCGCCCGCGGGGCTGGCGCTGGCCTGGAAACGATTTACGATGGATCAGTGTTCATGGTTTAAAGGATGGTCAACTTCTATTGGGCTAGAGGCCATGGCTAGTAGATTAGATGGAGGCCATCGCTAGTAGGTTGGAGGCCATCGCTAGTAGGTTGGAGGCCATCGCTAGTAGGTTGGAGGCCATCGCTAGTAGGTTGGAGGCCATCGCTAGTAGGTTGCAGGCCATCGCTATTAGGTTGGAGGCCATCGCTAGTAGGTTGGAGGCCAGCGCTATTTGGTTGGAGGCCAGCGCTCGTAGGTTGGAGGCCATCGCTATTTGGTTGGAGGCCATGGCTATTTGGTTGGAGGCCATGGCTATTTGGTTGGAGGCCAGCGCTCGTAGGTTGGAGGCCATCACTATTAGGTTGGAGGCCATCGCTATTTGGTTGGAGGCCAGCGCTCGTAGGTTGGAGGCCATCGCTATTAGGTTGGAGGCCATCGCTATTAGGTTGGAGGCCACCGCTAGTAGGTTGGAGGCCATCGCAAGTAGGTTGGAGGCCATCGCTAGTAGGTTGGAGGCCATCGCTATTAGGTTGGAGGCCATCGCTAGTAGGTTGGAGGCCATGGCTAGTAGGTTGGAGGCCATCGCTATTAGGTTGGAGGCCAGCGCTAGTAGGTTGGAGGCCAGCGCTAGTAGGTTGGAGGCCATCGCTATTAGGTGGGCTAGGTCGGCTGGGTTTGGGTGAGATCAAAACCGCTCCTTGCCACAGGCGCCGCACGCTTTGCCGCGCTCGCCGCGCTTTGCCGCGCGGTCGCTACAGGCTGCGCTGCGGGCGCCGGCGGCAGTCCCTACAGTGCAAGAGGATGAACTCTTAGGAGACATCAGAATCACTGAACCCTCACACAGAATAGGGTGTGCGAATTCTCCGACACGGTGCCCCGTGACTTTGGCTCTAGGGTCAACCCTGCACTTTGAATCACATGCAAATCAGTCGGTGTCACCTAGCCAAAACGATGTGTGAATGGTCGCAACATGCCTGAACTGACTCTTTTTATGTGGACATGCTCAAAACAGAACATCTGTTCACCAGAAACAAACCTTCTGGATCTCCCAGTGCTCCTTCTTCCATTCAGAGCTACACCGGCCAGGTCTGGATCAATGGCAGCCGAACCTGCCTCTAAATTCCTCTTTTCTGCTTCGGCCTTCTTCAAGGCCACTTGTCTGGCCTCACGAGGAAAAATCCCTCCACGTCCCAGCATTCTGTCCAGTGCGGAATGGCACCTGCAGGTCCCTCTATCACATACATATATATACATATATATATATATATGTGTGTGTGTGTACACACATACTTGCAGGCTCTGCAGGATGGGTGAAGGTGTGGAGGGCTAGAGCTGCTAGGTGGCTGTATTAATCAATGATCAAAACACCCAAAAACCATGGTCACTAACCTCCAACCTCCTTTTACCCGGGGCGAACTCAAGAGTATGTAAGGTGAGGCAGATAAGATCACACACGAGCTATCCAAGAACCATGTGTCTTTTTCTTGTTTTTCCATGGTTGTTCACCAGCTGCAGTTTGAGTTCAAGCAAAAACTCCTCCCAACATATGTGAACACAGCGGCCAAATTCTTCTAACCCTTTGGGTTTGGGCGCGCCAAACACCGTGTGGCGATTCTGCCTTTCTGCTGGTACTAGTAGACACGGTGTGACCTCTCTGAATGGAAAATCTCTTGACACATGACATCCCAGTAGCCCATTCTGCTTGGTTAGGCAATCGGTCGGTCCACCGGTCGGTCCCGGAGTTCCCGTTCACCTCCATCGCAGCCTTCCGCTTGGCGGCGCGCTCAGGGTCTACAGCCTCTTCAGACGACTCAGGCAAGAACCGGGGGAGAAATGCTGCAAAATGAAGCGCTGTTTGGAACTGGGCCACAATAGATGTATACAGTAACTCTGTGCTGAGACTCTACAACTTGTAGGTACTCAAGCCACCCAGGCCTAGTCTGATTTTGGGCTACTCAAGCACTTGAAACTGTGACGCTCAAGTGCTTCTCCTGGCTGTTTCAGTCTCGGTTATTCATAGCTGGGCCGCTCTGGCTACTCAACGCTCCATTTTGAGGGTCTTCTGCGGTTCATGTCTCTCGGGCTACTAAGGACTACTCCAAGCTGTTTCACTCTGGACGATTTGTGCGTTCTACTTACCAAGCAGAGGACTCAAGAAAAATTACCAGCAGTGAGGGCTTTCGTGACCGAGACGACGAGCACTCAGTCGAACTATAATATACCTTCTCAAACTCGGCCACCACTCTGAGCTATTCTGGCAAAACTTGAATTGGTTGGTTGTGGGCCAGGCACGTCGGGCAATTCTGTTCTGGGCTTCAAAGGGTTTCTATTCCGCTCTGGGCTAGGCTCTACTCTACTCTTGGCTGGACAAGGCCATGGTGAAGTTTTCTCCAGGGCTATGCCCGGTCCACGTTTGGGCTACTCCCTCTTTGGGTGTATTCTTAGTGCTTTGGTCGTGCTTCTCTTCCATCGAAAGACCGTCTTCGCCGAAACTGCCCAGCCCAGGCGAAGCCCAGGCTCATTGCAACATGCCCACGCTCTGGGCCGTCGATGTCGCCCGTGCCTTCTTCTTTGCCCGCAGCGGCGTCGCGGCACGAATCGAGCGTTGAAAGGGCTCACTCGAAGCAAAGGGCCTCGGGAACGGATCGCGCGAAGAAAATGGGCAGCAGACGGAGGAGACTGAGGGCGGAGAAAACCGAAAAGTACCCACACTGGTCGACGAGAAGGACCTCTTCTTCTTCTTCTTCTTCTTCTTCTTCTTCTTCTTCTTCTTCTTACCAGACCAGACCAGACCAGACCAGAAGCTGGATGCTCTCATCAAACAAATCTGGGTGGGAACAAGCTATGTGGGTTCAAACTCCATGAATTATGGGTGTGGCCAGCGGCAAGGTCCTTCTCCAAGCATTCCAGTGATGGCATTCCCATTTATCCCGGCTGCGTTGCAAAAGCATTTGGTACCAGTTTGTCCCAGGCATCTGGGTCCGGCGGCTTGCTCTGGTCCGACTCCATCAAAAATGCGTAAGGATGGGCAGGTGGAGGATGGCAGGACTTCATTTCATGTGGGCAGTTCAATAGGAACCATCAACATCAGCAACAAATCGATATATGCATACAAAAAAAACAGAAGATAGATACATACATGTTTCTCTGCGCAAATAGTTTTTAATACATAGCTATATATAATATATAACTATATAATGTCTATATTACTATGTATATATATATATGTATGTATACGTACCAAGCTTGTAGCTGAGAGTTGTGGACCGCTCTACAGCCTTGGGAAAAGGTATGAAACTGGCTGGCTTTGTCGACGCTGACCAGGAATAAAAGCCTTGCTGACATGGAGCCGCCAATGAAGAGTTCCTCGCAGTCAAGAACAAGAGAAGAAGCCTCTTAATGCAGATGCTTGAGTTACTATCAAGAAAGTGCCAGATCCCATCATTTCAAAGATGGGAAGCAACGACTCTGAAATCATGCTGGAATCATCATGTGTCACTCCCAAACTCTGTGATTTCATGAGATTTTGGAACCATGTCCATGTCCCAACTGAAGTACAATCTGCACCTTTCTTGGCAACTGGGAACCACATCACCTGCCTGCTAGTTGCTGGCTGAGACCGCTGGAGGCACCAAGAAAGCAAAGCACTGATAAAGAGTAGATACCTGAGGAAACCGACATGTGGAAAGTGCAGAACTGCTGGTGCGAATTAGATGATTACGCCTTGTTGCTGCTGGTGCAAATCAGGCGTTGTGGTTTGTTCGGTCGAAATCTTGTCTTTCATCCAAATGACATGAGCTTTTGGTAACTAACTCTATTGGTTTGGCAACCCTCAATGGGCGTAACGAATAGAGAGTCTTCCATCCTTTCTGGTCGTAGTTGATGCCAACCTTCACCAAGATGTGCCCAGCCAACATCTCTCAGGCGGAAGTTTGCGGCAAAAAAGGGAGTCGTATCCCACACTTCCACCATTGGGTTTTTGTTCGGCCAAAAAGAACGGCGCACGCCCTTTGACAACACACCCGCACCGGGTTCCCAAGACCCGAGCTCGGGTGGGTCCGTCCACCCGACCACACGGCAAGAGAGCGGCTGGGTGATAGCATGGTGACCAGTCCTGAGGATCGACGCTGGTCACGGTGGAGAGTTGGGCGAAAACAGAGACCGAGCATGGGCTGTGAACTCAATCCGATCGCCTACATGTTTTACAGAGACGGCCACATGGCGATCGGATTCAGCGCTTTGGCTCGAAACTGCCAAGCGATTCAACCAAAAATTCAGTTTGGCTTTCTATGTTCAAAAAAGCAAAATGCATCTAAGAATCTATGTCAACACTAAGTGGGTGACAGTATATGTGTCATCTGTACATAATATAATACAATATAATACAACATAATATAATATAATATACTATAATATAATATAGTTTCGTATAATATAATGTAATATAACATAATATACCATAATATAATACAATATAGTATAATGTAATATAGTATAGTATACATGTATATATGTGTGTACATATACTGTTTCCAAAACCACTGCGCAAGACTCTTCCAGTCCTGCCGAAAAGTTGGCATATCGCCAGCGAGCTCGCATGCCCGTACTCGCGTGCAGTGAAAAGTGGGGTGGCGCGGCGCACGATCGCTGGAGCCAACAAGCACCAAAGGGACATGATACTGCAACCAGAGAGCATCGACTGGTGTGTAAGAAAGGAAGCTACCACCTGTGGCAGATTGTGTTCGAGAGGTACATAAGACTGATCAACTAGAGATGGACCTCAATAGTGATCACAGGCAGAGACCCATTCCCGTCCTCCCTGTAGCAGGGAGGCGCTCCGAAAAACGGCCGCTCTGGGTCACCCTGCTGGGTCAAGGTTCCTGTTTTCCGAACGCGATACTTGGGCATCACCTTAGCAAGATGAAGAGAGGAACATACACAAAAAATTAGGATGACCAATAGGATGCACTCATTAAAGAAGCCTCACTGGCATCAAAGAAGGGAGCAAGTGAGAACGTTGCTTCACCAACAAATTTGTTCAGCTTGCCGATCCAACGGTGTGAACCCGGCAAAGCAAGGTTTTCCGAAGCAAGGTTGGACCCTTTCTTGAATCATCTCCAAGTCATTGGCATTGGTATCATATTGAGTTCCAGGATCCTAGACACACCCTGCCCCTGTCTCCAGTGATCCATTCTTGCTCCTCTCCAGATTGAGCGCAAGCGGAGCGCTTGTCCCCGACCCCCGGTCGCCCCCGGTCGCCCCCGTCGCAAGCGGAGAGCCCCCACAGTGATCTGGCCACCCGCGTTGTTGCTGAAGGAAATGATCTCCAAGACCTGGAGAACGTCACCGAGAACGTCACCTCTAGTGGTGAATGGAAATCTCCTTTTGAATGGGTGAGATTTTGGGTGGGGATATGTTTGTTATCATGGGATATGTTTGTTGGGTGTGGTGAATGGGTGACGGAATCCAAATCATGTTGGGCCCCCCCAAAAGAAACATCTGAAGGTCATCTCAAATCCATGGACCTTTCCGCACCTGCACTGATGAGTACAGGGCCCAGGGCCGCGCCACGCCGTCGGCGCCTGGAGTAGTGTCCCCACCTCTTCCAATTGGTTGACCTGGGTGAAGGCCACTGGTTTGATTCGGTGCGAGAATAATAGGAACGATTTTTGTGGTGGCCATCAAGAAAACATACTGGCTCAACAGCGAAATGGAAATACTACCAGCAGATGATCCGTGTCTTTGGAGATACATCTCGGGAAGCGAAGCTAATGAGGCCAAATCATCTCTACGGACTCTGACCTTCAAACAAGACTCTGCAAAGAAACTGGAGGGATGCCTTCACAAGTCCAGACTCATCTTGCAAAGATTCGTCTCCTCACCCGCACACAGCTGGCCAAGGCAGAACTCTCTGAGCGCCCCAAGCACTCTCTGCCTTCCCTGCATCCCTTCGCAAGCCCTGAGCCCCAGAGCCGTCCCGCACGAAGTCAAATCTTGGATTGACTATTGATTGTAGGAAACCAGAAGCTAGGCAAGTAGGCCATCTTGGTTAGTTTATCCTTTGACCGTGCCTTGAGAGGCTAAGTCCTTCTATGTGAAACCCCACTTTGGGCCTTTTGCGCTTCAGCCACAAAAATGGGGAGACATATTTGAAAGAAGCTTTGAAAACACGGAAACACACCAGAAACACCCCCCTCTCACCCGGTGTCAATACAAGCTGGCTCAACAGCTCCACCCGAAAAAGGAGGATTCCCATGGGGGCGGGTCTCGACTCCTCCGTAATCCGGTCCGGTCCGAGGTCCCCTGGAGGGCTCGGTCGCTGCCCAGGTGCGGAGGGCTCGGAGCTGCCAAAGGCTCTCGGAGGGTCCTGGCCCTCAGTCTGGGGAAGTCTGGGTGTCAGTGTGCATCGATTGGTGGTGGTGAACTGGTGGGTGAGCATACTGAAGTCTGTTTCAGCATGTTTGAGCTATCTCTTTGAAGTCACCTGGGTGCAGCTTGGAACTCTACTGGCTCAAGTGGCAGGCCACGGGGGGCAAACAGGCTGCCCGGACAGCTGCATCCTTCATCAAGAAGCCGCCAATGTATTCGAACTGCGGCTTGAGGCAGCACGATTTGGAGCGGCTTCACTGTGGTAAAACCGAAGGTCCAGCAGAGTCTAGCAGAGTCTAGCATCTATTCTTCAGCTGAGAAGCAGATACCTACCTTGTATCATGTCTAACCCCTATGTCAAGTTCAAGGCATACGCACTACGAACCCTCCTTCTGGCCTTTTGAGTGGTGTGCAAAATCTCACCTCTGGGAAAGTCTCACCTCTGAGGCTGTACACATCACAAGACTGTGATCCTCATGGACTCGCCCCAGGCACGAGAGTGCCCGCCTGGTTCTTGCTCCGATAGGTCTTCAAAAGATCGATCACTTCAGGCTCACTCACCTGTGGAGGGGTGGCAAAAGCTTGCTGTGGAGGCAGAAACCGAGCGCCGAGTGCTGAAAACAAGGAGTTGGGAGGAAACAGAAAAGCGAGCAGGTGGTCAAACCGCGATCTTTTCTGCATGAGACAGTCTCCCCCAAATCTCACTTCACTTTGTGCGGGAGGGATTGGATCTTTGTATGCGGGAAAGAGTACAGAAACTCGAATGTCTTTCTGTGTACGCCAGCATCTTTGTCTACAGCGTCGCTTCCAGAGCTGGAGATGTATGTGCTCGCAGAAATGCAAATGAGTAAGAATCTCTACATAAATTGCAACTAGCGGTCACTTTGCTTGGGGCCTCCCCCACCCTGATTGTCCAACCTGTAAGATCTGCTTGAAGGAAGGGAATGCCGGCTTCCTGCAGAAGGGAAATCTGCCCAAAAAGGGAACGCAGTTGCCCAGTATCTTTGCACATTCACCAAAAAGCGCTTTGCAGGCCATCCATGCTCCAAGAATAATGCATTATTCATCCCTCATTACTGCTATATACTACTGCTGCTGCTACTGCAACTGCCACTGGCCTTTGAAAGGAGCTTTGTTGTTGACAATCTTCGCGAGACACCACTCTGTGTGGAAATGTCCAGGGGACGGCTTTCAATGGGGAGCTTCAAGAAAACCTTCGAAGGATGCTTCAAGGGGGCTTCGTGAAGGGTTTTGAAGGCGGACTTCGCAAACGAGAACAAGAAGGGGGGTCTTCTGGAAGTAGCTTCGAGAAGGGCTTTCCAAAAGAGATCGCAAGAAAAATTGTTCTGTTATCCCGGTTATCCCCCTGTTCTGGGTGGTTTGAGAGTGTCCTCAACATTTCCTCGGCTGTCTATATAATGTCTTGTAGAAATAACTCAACATAAGTAGTAGGGCACATGCACTAAACATGGAAATGACGCAAAGGAATGGGTATATACACAACAATCGATGCATAACCCGGAAACTGAAAACCATTTGCGTGTATTTTAATATGGAGACCCCCGTGGCCGGCCCGTCGCCCAATGGTTAGACTGATCTATATATTATCATTCTTTAACCAGAATTCAATGGGGGAGACCGACTTCGCTATGTTAGAACATTAACACAGACTGATCTATACGTAAAAGGTGGGAAACCGGTCACAAGTCAGAATCTGATTCCAAGTACTCTGAACTTAAGCCGATCCGAAGAAATGAAACGAAACGACTCCTGAGAAGCGGCAGCACAATCAGACCATCTGGCAGATCAGTGACTTGTGCCTGGCATCAGCACAACTACCTCCTGACTGAGTGCCTTCTACCACCCTCAGTCAGTTGTTCAACTGCGCGACAAAAATGCCCATACTCAGCTACAAACCACGAGTCCCAGTCGGAAAAAAACACGCACGAGTGAAATGATCTGTCTTCCATTCTTTCATGTCCACTGCTGTCCGGGGATCCCCCATCAAAAGCAATGCATCTGTTCGCTGAAACCACCCAGTCTCGCATGGGCACGCCGCCTTCGGTTCTTCCTTCGGAGGCTCTTTCACCTCCGTAGGCCTCGTCGGAGCGTTCGTGGCACGACGGGGGCCCCGGCAGCAGGCGTGGGAGGTGCACATCATGGTGAATCCATAGTGAATCGTTGAGCACCAATGATGCATCAGCATGTATCATGTGAGGCTCTTTTTTCTGAGACATGCAAAAAAGAGAGAGCTGCTTAACACACAGGAGGGGATTGGGAACGTGTGGAGCTTGTGGGTGGTCGATGCACCTCCTGAGTCCCTAACCTATTTCAGTTGAACAAAACGTTTCTCTCCAGAATCTGAAGAGAAAGCTTATCCGGAGAGAAAAGCTTATCTTGTGCCGGCACAAAAGGAATTCCGGACAAAAGCTTATCCGGAATTTATCTTTAATTCCGGAGTTTTTGATGCCGAACTCACTTGTGCCGTAGGAACTGACTTCGCGGTGGAAGCTCCTCCGTCGGCATTCCCTGTCTGAGAAGTTTGTGCAGGACGACACCTTCAAAGAGTGATCAGACTCTAGATGCACGATTATTGCGATTCTTGAGTTAGCCTTAGCCGCATCCGCGTGCTATCAAGCGTGCACTGCTAGGCAGGTACAAGTCTGTGCATTCACAGACTCTTCTACTCGAGCCTCGTTGGCCAGTGTCGACTGCGCTGACTTCCGTTAAGCGACTAGCTGCTTGTTATAGCATCTTACACTCACACACTTACACATCATGTCTTCTGCCTTGACAGCATACATCTTCAGCAGCGCATGCACCCAAACATTCAGCAAAAAAAACTTTATCCATGTGTTTGAGCTTGTGTAGAATACCTAACAAGGAAAATATTGTTAGCGCATTATTTTGCTGGCCTTTTTCTCATGGGTCACATATTTTGTCACACAGCACCTGCACATTACTGTGCTTGACGGTAAAATGGACCTTTGGACGGACAGAGAGTTGACCTTCCTTGTGTGACGAGCATGTTCCCGATGTTTTTCTGTGGGTCGTTGATAGGGCCCAAAAAGCTGTTGAATCAATGCAAAAGACAGCCTGGCCGGAGCTTCCTGCGGCTGACTGGAACATACAAGTTTGTTCATGCAGGTACAAGGTACATGTGGTACCAGCTAGCAAGTACATGTTCAAACAGGAGGATCTGAGAGAGCGTTCTTGATCTTTCTCACCAACGCACGCAGTCTTGGGCTTCAGGCTCTTTGGCTTGCGCTTCCACTGGAGGCTTGGCTGCCTGAAAGCTATGAAGCATGCTTGGAAAGAAAGAAAGAAAGAAAGAAAAAGAACGACGGAAGGATAGAAGGAGAGACAGAGAGATCAACGACGGAGTGCTACGATCATGCAAACACCCTTATGGATTCTCCACAAAAGCACCAAACGAATGGCCTTGCTTCAGGGACAAGTGGATACTACAGTAATTAATTACCCTCTTCTTCTATCCGAAAGCTTCGCTCCTCACGCCCGAGGAAAGCCATGAAGGCCACTACAGGAATGCTCATCTGGATGCGCTACGATGGACTCTGCCCATCAGGGAACGCATCAAAACCTATGGGAAACCCGCAGTGGCAGGCAGTGGCGGCAGTGGCGGCAGTGGCGGACGTGAACATGTTCGACGAATGGCAAAGGCCAAGACCCGCCTCGCGCCCCGTGCGGGAGGCCCGCCCAGCAAAGGCACGGGCCGAGCCTCTGGCCTGCTCAGCACGTGAACCGGATCTTGAGGTGCATCAAGTAAGAACTATGAGGGATACGTAGGTCCCAGGTGGTGATCATGCTGCTATTGATCGGCCGCCCTTGGAACTCATCAACCTTTTGTCAAAGGTACTCGTGCCAATGCAAAATTGGCAGACTGAAGCGCACATGTTGACGGTCCAATTGAGACCGTGCGAAACAAACAGAGCAACCGTGCTCCTTACAGGTGATAATTTGGGAGGACTAGGTTGGAGTCCTTAGGTTGGAGGCCATTACTAGTAGCTAAAAGCTACTAGTAACAAGGCTTCTACAAAGAAGAGCTCCGCTAAGGTGTCCTTTCTCAACCCGGTAAGCAGACGGATCGCTGGACTCGTTGGAGAGTGGCGGCCTCGGGCGAGCGTGGCCTCAGGGAGGTGCACGGCACGTTCATGCCGGATGGGGGGACGGATCGGGACGGTTGCGACTTGATGTTTACATGACTGTGAGTTTGGTATATATATATATATATACATACAATATATATGTTATGTATGTATTTATATATATCTATATACTATAAATAGTGATATATTACATATGCCTTATTCCTTTCTGGGTCTTCTAAAACAGAGAAGGACAGTTGGAACAGGAAGCAGAAGGAGAGGAAAAGGAAAAGAAGAAGGAACAAGGAACAGGTCAAGAAAAGCAAAGAAGAAAAGCGAGGTCTCTCCGAGTCTCTCCCTCCGAATTCCCTCCAAAACAGTTCGTTTCAAACTGGCTCTTGGCCCGTTGCTTTCCGTTGGTTCTTGGCGTCCGAAAAACCGGCCCCAGTGGAGGCAGGAGTGGCATTCTTGCGGTTCCCCCCACCGGACGAAACCAGCAAGAATCGCTTGCGTAACTGATCTGGTGCGCGGCAGATGGGCCAAAACCGGCACCGAAACTAGACGCCACAAGTCGCCAGATACCACAAGTCACCAGACGGGGCCACAGGAGATGCCGAAAGTGATACCAAATTCCGTAAAACATCCCCAATTCCATGCCCCGCCAAACCCCATCGAAGAACCCTCGCCACTTGTAAGTGGAAACGAGCCACAAATGCAAGCTGGTGGTACTACAACACCGGACGGGTGATGCTGAACTGGGCGTCGAACTGGAAGATTCGTTGACTGGCTTATGATTCTGCCGAAAATGATTCTGCCGAGCTTGGGACTGGAGAGCTTGGGACTGTCAGACTCCAAAAAAGATTGAAACAGACCACTCGATGGTCCCTACAAGCCCCTCACGACCGGGCCACGTGGCCCGGATCACATGCCGGTCTTTGCTTCGCCCGTGGGGTCTCATGGGACTCATGGGACTCATGGGACTCATGGGATTCATGGGACGGCCATTCTCAATCGCCAAAGGCTGGAGCTCATGGGAAGACTCAGATTCGAAAGCGTTGGGCTCAGTGATTCTGTGTGCCGACCATCCTAACCCTGCGTTCACTTCCTGACCCCTTTCCGTTCGAGAAGATCTCTCAATCGTCCCGCCGAAAACAGCACGTCCACGGACGGAACTGGGTGCCAGACCCGACGGAGAACTGGCTCGTCAACCGCCGGAACCTGGGAACCGGCGCCCAGCTCGCTGATAGGACTGACTCACTCGGTGATGGGGTTATGGGATGATGCGAGTCGAACTTCTTGAATTCCGGTGCAATCAATCAGGTTCAAGAAATTCCGGATGGATCTCCATTCCAAAACGGGCTACCGAACGCGCTCGGAAGGTTCTTCTGAAGTTACGACGGATGATTGTGCCACTGTACCGTGGCCACAGCAAGCTGCCCTGATGTAGCTCGAAATAACTGCGGATGCTCATGTCAGAATCATGAAGACTGACAAAAAGGATCAAAAAGGACCGGTTTTTCACCTGCGTCTTCTCATCATGTCAGGTCAGCTTCGGACCAGAACTTCCCAGGTCAAACATCAATCCATCCCATTTCAGTTCGAGCGGGTGCGTCACAGGGGTACCATCCATAGGCCCCAACGAGGAATATCGACTGGTCATGACTCCCGAACTGAACCCACGGGGTCGAACTGGAAGGTCTCCCTATTTGAGCTACACACCCAAATAAAGAACGACCAACACTGACTGGTTGTTTTTGATTAGAGACGAAATTCAGAAGCAAGACTTCCACCAAGACATCTGAGTGTAAGATGGTGTAGAGTTTGCATTGAGTGAAACAAAACGACAAATGCCTGGAGCTGCCAAGTAGGGGACCAGATGGGAGCAGCTTGTGTTGGATTTGAACGATCTGCTTGGATTTCGTCTGGTGACCCAACTTGGAAAGTTGTTGATTCGCCATCGCTGCCCGACTGGGGCTCCCACCCTGGCTTTAAATGAGCCCGCCACATGTGCAGGAAGAGTTTCGGCTGTGGCAGTCACAGCCAAAGCACACGCATGCGCGGTAAGCCGCTGGAGTTGTTGGCGGACACCCCTGGCACTGGAGCTGTCACCCCACAAAGGCAAAACTTCAGCCACAAACTTGTTCGAAGAGCCTTAACTTTTAAGGTTCGAGATTGCTAGTGCTACAGATTGGAGCAACTCGTGTGCCCCAGTGGCCTGTATGCCACGCCTTTTGCCATGCTGGTTCTGCACTTTCTTCAACAAAAGCACGCGCAGGGCCATGAGGTGTCAGGAGATGAGAACAAGCAATCAAAACACCTTGAATGGTGGCCTGAAGTGCATGCAGGGCAAAGCGACAAGCAGTTGTAGTGAAACCACCTTGAATGGTGGCTTTCAAGTGACCCTACAAAGCTTCGGACACTACCTGAAATACATGCAGGGCAAAGAGACACGCAGTTGCAGTGAAACCACCTTGAACGGTGGCTTTCCAATGACCCTACAAAGCTTCGGACACTACCTGAAGCACATGCAGGGCAAAGAGAGAAGACGCTGCACTTGAATGGTGGCTTTCAAGTGACCCTACAAAGCTTCGGTGACTACCTGAAGTACATGCACGGCAAAGAAGCAAGCAGCTGCAGTGAAAGTTCCTGGAATGGTGGCTTCCGAATGACCCTGCAATGCTTCGGAGACTACCTGAAGCACATGCAGGGCAAAGAGACGTTGCAGTGAAAGTACCTTGAATGGTGGCTTTCAAGTGGCCCTACAAAGCTTCGGTGGCTACCTGAAGTACACGCAGGGCAAAGAAGCAAGCAGTTGCAGTGAAAGTACCTTGAATGGTGGCTTTCGAATGACCCTACAATGCTTCGGAGACTACCTGAAGCGCGTGCGAGGAGAGCTGCGCAAATGCGCAGGGCGTAGGAGGTGCCATCACATGGATTCTGTGGCACGTTTGTGACTTGAAATCCTGCACCTGTTTTCCAATCCTGACTGCGGCGGGTCAGCTGAGAAGATCTTCTTGGTGTGAGCGCTTGGCAAGTGGACCGTATGCTCAGCTCGTAAGTGCACAAGCCCACCTGTTGTTTGCTGTTGGCCTATGCTCGACTTTTCCTAGGATGTAGGCCTGTGCAGTGTCACATCCATGTTTGATTTGGTTGCTTGGAAACAGGGGCTCGAAAGCTGGGCGAGGGCCTGCTTTCCAAAATGGTTTGTGTTAATTCGGTGCAGGTGCGGCCACAGGCGACCGCCTTCGGCAATCGCAAGAAGAAGAAGAAAAAGAAGAAGAAGCCTTAACTTTTGATGTATGAATCATGTTGAGTGCTCTTGAATGACCAATCCAAAGTTGGAACGGCAGAAATGCCAAACTTCGGGAGTCCCCAGGTGGTTTTTGCTGCTGAACATGTGGCTCACTTGGTCCAAACGGTCGGCATGGGTTCACCCATTCTCAACATCAAGTCGGAGGCAACGAATACCCCAAGTGCCATGCGTCGGAAGCTGGGCTTCCCAGGGAGTTAGGGAGGCATCCGCAAGGATCCTCGACTGCCTATTGGGACCCCTTGTTTGGGACTCTTCACTCAATCAAACTGATGTCCACATCCATTTGTCTGGTGAAGGTGAAGAAACCACGAGACTCACCAGACCCAAAACAAGGCCCCTTGCCGCACCTCCTTGAATCGCAAGGGATGCGCAGGAGGCGCCAGTGCAATTGGAATGTAGCTTTCGTCGTGTACTGTTCAGCAAGTGCTTTTGCAATGGTCAGTGATGTCTTTACGAACGGGAAGAATAGAGAGGTCGGTTTGGTGCGATTGACCTATTGGTTGTACACTGAGAGGCATCCCCTCTATTAATCAACCAACCAAATATATAATAAAGGCAATCTATGGGTCAAATGGTTCAATGTTTCAGCTTTGGCTTTTGCTTCTAGGTCCGTTCTCAGGTCATGAGTCTGAGAGGCTGGTTCCCAGCAAGTCCTTTCGTGGAGTTCGACATGCTTGTCAGCTTGTCCTAAACTGGCAGTCCTCACCTGTTTAAACCAAACTCGGGAAACGTACGAAATCAATGTAGTAGGACTGCTAGGTTGGATCGTAAGCTCCCAGGTTTGGATGGCTGAGGGATCGAGTGAGGCGCTTGACATATTCGTTGCTTCAAAAGCTGCGAAAGCGCTGGCGGGTGAGCGTGCAGATCCAAAAATGGCCGCCTCACCCGCTTGCACGGCTGTAGTGGAAATAGCTTGGTCAAGTCCAGCATAATAGCTATGAACACACGTGTCTAAAAAATGGCATCGCTGAATTGCAGCTGCTCTTCAGACCTGGTCAGACCTGGCAAAATCCGTCATCCCTGGCCGGGCCTGGACCCACCGGGCCTGTTCCACGCTCACAGGTGCGAGGAACTACGGCGTGTGGAAAACAGCGTCTGTCGACGCGGTGTTCTCACTGTCTGTCGACGAGTATGGGAAAGTGACCCACTGAGGGAATCAGAGACGAATCTGAAGGCCTTGCCTGCAAAACCTTACTACCATTTCGGCATGCAAATCAATGACAAGCTTCGCAGAGCTTCAGCTATTGAAAGCTCTTCTTCTGCAAGGGTTTGATGCACCAACCACTGGAGGAAGAACAGGCTTCCATGAATTAGTTGCACCATCTCCAATGCATCCCGTACTCCTTCAACCCATGGTGCCAAAGGAGAACCAGTCTTAAGCCATAGCTGTGACACAACCCTACGGGCATAACCACTTGTTCTGCCTGTTCTGCAAAAAAAAAAAATAGGGATGCACTACATCACTTCTATCACTTCTTTAGGACACAGAAATCTAACAGATTCTAACAGTATGTATATCATATACATATGTGTGTTGTTTCACGGTGTTTCTCTGTGATACCAGCGATGTTTTAAAGCTGGAAAGTCCAGAAGCCCTGAACCCACGACGTTCGCCGCGACTTCCGGCGACGTTCGGCGGCTCGGGGGGGCCGCCACTGATCTCACCTTGGTGCGATAGGCGTCCAATGCAAAAGCATAAGTGAAGCAGAGTATGGCCCACTGAAAGCTCATGTCTCCACTCAAAAGAAATTGGAAGCCGAACAGGCTCAAAAAAAAATGGCGGTCCCCGCACTCCAAGAAGAAAACTCTTCACTAACTCTCAAGGGAACCAACTGACTGGCGGAAAAGGATTCAACTCCACTACTGGGTCCCTTTCCATGAAACCTGGTCCCTGCGTCTTTCTCAGTTCCACAGCTCCCATCGCTTCCCAGTTTGTCATCAGCGGGCGCAGAGCTCCAGCGTTCGGTGTTTTCCGCCGGGGCCGGTTTTCGCACGAGCTCCCCAAGCGGAGCGATGGCCACGCCGCTTCAGCGCTCACTTCTTGGGACGTGCATAGCAGGCAGCCCAATTCACCATCATCATCCCCTTGCCACGACACCTCGGAAATCGCCAACGTCGCCAGAGCCAACCAGCGATTCGTTTGGTCCGTCCGTTCGGTCAGTGACCCAGACCCCACCTACAGACTTTATGTACAGGTTGAAGAGCACGAGTGCCAAAAATCGGTTGTGTGGGTTTTCGCTTCAGCTCAAAGAGACTGAACTGATTCGTTGAGTGGATCCCAAGTTTCCTTGACCGCTTCCAGGGTCTTAAAGTACAAAGGGCATAGGTGCAGAGGCACACACGCTGTAGAATTGCGAAATACAGGTAAAAAAAGAATTGTGTAGAAATACGGAAGGAAAAACATACTCTTACTTATGTCCATCCCCCACTAGCCATGGACAAATGGAAAATCCAGCTCTGCTTAGCCTGAGAAGGGAAGAGACGAAAGCCAGCCCTCGTAGAGATTCGGAACAACAAGAAGAGATTTTCTTTACAGCTGCTTGGGGGGACCTAGCTAGATCCCAGAAGCCAGCACTCCTTTGCTCATGCTCTTTTTTCTTTCCCAAAACTGTCACATAGCGATCAAAAAGGGCACCACCACACATGCCCGTCAAACAGACCGCAAACATAGCCGCTCAACGCATTTTCCTTACAGCTGCTTGGGGCGACCTAGCTAGATCCCAGAAGATACTGTACTCAGCATTCCTTTACTGGTGCCTCTTTGGTCTTCCCAAAGACGTGACAAAATGATCAAAAAAGGCACCACCACCCTTTTCGTTGAGTCCGTGAGTCTTGATGCGTTAGTCTCGCCCACCATCTCTTTGGACCACGTAGACTCTACGGCGGAGCGGTACAGAAAAGTTGAGGTCTTTACAGCGGTAACAAGCCTGCTTGCAGGTTGCTTTCTTTACAGCTGACCACGTCCATGCTTGCTAGGGAAATAATGCTAATGGTGCAATGATGCCTTAGTCAATGTTTGGCATCACTCGCATCACAAACTCAATTCTTACTAGCCTATCGAGCGTGTTGGCTGACTTTTTTAATGAGGATCACTGTAGAATGGAGAAATTGTGAGCGCCATCCCGTCAATTGGCCTGGCAGGACATGACATAAAGCACCGATGCGCTGTCACTGTGATAAGCTTGCTTTGAGTGCGGTTCTTTGAATGGTTCGAGCTATGGGACATGGACATGAATCACTTTTTCCCCACCTGCCAGGTGAGGGTTGTTAGATTTTATCACAGCTGTTCTTCCTCCGCCTCCGCCTCCGCCTCCGCCGCCTCCTCGTCCTCCTCCTTCCTCCTTCCTCCTTGCCTCCTTCCTCGCCAATCTTCATCGCCAATCTGCTTCTCCGATCTTGTCTGGCCAGCTCCGGATCGCAGTGTGCACCCCTGGACCTCAACCGCAGGGATCCGATCGCAGTGTGCACCCCTGGACCTCAACCGCAAGGATCCGATCGCAGTGTGCACCCCTGGACCTCAACCGCAAGGATCCGATCGCAGTGTGCACCGCTGGACCTCAACCAGATAGTTTGCCAGATAAAATCCACAACACACACAACAAACACACAATCACAAACACACGACCACAAACGCGCAACCACAAACACACAACCACAAACACAATCACAAACCCACAATCACAAACACAATCAC